CAGTTCCTGCTGCCTCTTATATCTCGGATTTAATATGCAAATCCAAGCCCACCACCTGTCAGCTTGACCCACTCCCATCCTCCCTGGTTAAATCCTGCCTCTCATCCCTGTTACCCTTCATCTGCTCCATCATTCACGCCTCCCTCCGGACTGGAATCGTCCCCTCAGCCTTTAAAACTGCAGCTCTAACCTGGTTTCTCAAATAGCCCGGCTCAGACCCCAACAATTTCAATAACCTTCGCCCCATCTCCAACTTACCATTTATCTCTAAGACACTTGAAAAATTTGTTGCTAACCAACTACACTCTCATCTATCCAGCAACTTCCTCTACGAAGTCTTCCAGTCTGGTTTCCGCCCCCACCACAGCACAGAAACGGCTCTGATCAAAATCACAAACGACCTCCTTCTTGCAGCAGACTCAGGCCAGATTTCCATCCTCGTCCTACTCGATCTCAGTGCAGCATTTGACACCATCTCACACACAGTTCTACTCCATAGACTATCTGCCATTGGCATTTCAAAAACTCCTCTAAATTGGTTCAAATCATATCTATCTAATCGCACTCAATTTGTCCAACTGCGCACCTTCCGCTCTAACCCCAAGCCAGTTACCTCTGGAGTTCCTCAGGGCTCAGTCTTAGGTCCCCTTCTCTTCATAATCTACTTACTCCCACTTGGCAATATCTTCAGGAAATTTAATATTAATTTTCACTGCTACGCCGATGACACCCAGCTCTACTTCTCTACCCAACCAACCCCCCCGCTCCCTTCATCCTCCTTCATCCAGTTGCCTCACCAAAGTCAAATCCTGGTTTTCTTCTAACTTTCTACAGCTCAACAGCAATAAGACTGAGATCCTCCTCATTGGCACCAAGTCATCTCTATCTAAGACGAGTTCATTCTCACTCAGCTTTGACAACAACACACTTCTCCCCACCGCCAAAGATAAGAGCTTGGGTGTCATCAAGAGAGATCTCCACACAGTTGTTCATGCTTTTGTAACGTCATGTTTGGACTATGTTAACTCTCTGGTATATGGGGTTCCCTCCTCTTCAACAGTATGCCTCCAATTGGTACAGAATGTTGCAGCAAGGTTTTTAACAAACACATACCGGCAGCAACACATCTCACCTGTTTTGGCAAATTTGCACTAGCTTCCTGTTCAGTTTCGGATTAAGTTTAAAATTCTACTGCTGGTGTATAAATCTTTGAATGAAATGGCACCCTTTTATTTGGCGCAGCGTTTAAGCCCCTATGTTCCGGTGCAAACCTTGAGGTCCTCTGACCAGCACCTTCTGCTCGTCCCTCCAGCTCGCTATAGGGCACGTGGCGAATGGGCTTTTTCAGTTTGTGCGCCTAAGCTTTGGAACCAACTCCCCCTGGCGGTCCGACTTGCCCCCTCCCTTCCAACTTTTAAAGTACATCTGAAGACATATTTCTATTCCCTGGCCTACCCAGCTGAGATTGTTTAACCCTTAAGTTTGTCTGTTATTGTAGTGGTTTTTTTAAACGTATTTTTATCTAATGACGCCGCTGTTTTCTAGTTTGGTGATCTGTTACTTTAGTTTTTAAGTGTTTTTATCTATTTTATGCTGCTGTCTTCTAGTTTGGTGTCCTATCTTCTTGTACAGCACTTTGGTTGGTGTAGTCGCTGTTCAAACGTGCTTTATAAATAAAGGATGATGATGATGATCTTAGACAACACCTTATACTTCATTCCTCACATTAACAACACAATAAAAACTGCTTATTTTCATCTCCGCAATATCAATCGGCTCCGCCCCTCCCTCAGTCAGCACTCCACTGCTATCTTGGTCCACAGCCTGGTCACCAGTCGCATCGATTACTGTAATGCCCTCCTCTCCGGTCTCCCTCTAAAATCACTCAACAAGCTAGTTAGTCCAAAATTCAGCTACCTGGATCATCACTAAGACCTCCACTTTTGATCTCATCACCCCTGTCCTGCAACAACTTCACTGGCTCCCTGTCAAATACAGAATTGACTATAAGATACTTCTTCATGCCTTTAAAGCCATCCATAATCTCGCTCCCCCTTATCTCTTTAATCTCCTCCACATGGTAACTCCCACTCGCTCTCTCCGATCATCATCTTCACCTTCCCTGTCGGTTCCTTGCACTCGTCTCTCTACTATGGGAGCCAGAGCTTTCAGCCACTCAGCTCAAAAACTCTGGAACACTCTACCGCCTGACCTCTGCAATATAAACTCTTTCTCAACCTTCAAGTCTCAACTCAAAACTCACATGTTCCGCCTGGCTTAGTCATTGTAACTGTCCTCCTTCCATCTACTCTTTTTAGTTTATTATCCATCGCACTGCTCTGACTCTACCCTTGGGAATTACTCTTGGCACTTACTGTATTTCTTGTTGTTTGTATTGCTTGCTGTTCCTTATATTTTGTCTTGTACAGTGACCTTGAGAGCTTTGAAAGGCGCTTGAAATACAATGTATTATTATTATTATTATTATTATTATTAGTGTATGGCAGGTCTCACCTCCATCAGTGTGCCCCAGGGCAGCTGTGGCTACATTGTAGCTCATCATCACCAGCGTGTGAATGGGTGAATGACTGATTGTGTTTTTAAGAGCCTTGGGGGGTTGTAGAACCCTATGAAGGCGCTATGCAAATACAGACCATTTACCATTTAAACAATGAGTTTTTGCTGTAATCCATACTTAGAGTAAATACCCAGGATATCTTTTTCCAAACTGTAGCTCCAAGGCGTGGTAGATCTTATTATGAGTGTCAGCGTCTCTGACATGTAGAACATTTTCACCTGCAGGCAGAAATGTAACCAGTGAATCAAACAGAATCAGTAAAAGGTGTTTGATACCCTGAGGCCATTCCCCAGAGTTTACGTGCTTAGGTCCATTAAAAGTATTAAAACACTTGTTTAATCAAAACATTGATATTCGGACATCTTACCTCGGATTGGATAACAGCAATGACTCTACCACCGACTCTGTTTGTTCTGCAATGTAGATGTTTTATCTCCACAAGTAACACAAGCCTGGAGGAGTTCTGCTGTGTTGTGGAGTTGCTAATGCTAACGGTTAGCTTGTACTAGCTGAGATGTTCTCTGAGGTTTCCTGGACAATAAACCAACAACAGCCTTCCCCGCCGTGAGTCATGAATGTCGAGTGACAGTGTGATGTACGTTTTTGAAATCCTAGAATTTCACCATCTATGTTCTATCAGACGCTAAAGCAGGAGATAGGTGTAGGAGACTATTTTCATGTTCAGCCTGAGTGAAAAACTCAGAGCGACTGATTATAATCAGAAATATTCATTAAAAACAATTTTTCATTGTTCCCCACCTTTACCAATGTAATGCTCCTGTAGCTCCTGTGCTTTGGGGAATAAAATAAAAGATCTGTAACTGAGAACTCCCTGAACATGCTCTGAAACTGGTTTGTTGGGGAACACACTCGCTCAATGAATGAACTACTGCTGAGGACAATCGTGGCTAAACAGAACTTTATGCTGTAACTATTTTTAAACAAATTTATCAATAATATTCAAACTTATACAAAATAGGTTCCATTGGTAGCAGCTTCTTCAGCAGCATGGCAGCTGATGAGGATGTGAATTTGAGAGAGATGGGAAACATGGAGGCGTTCTGTTGCTGATGCAATTACAGGTGAAGGGAATTTAAACAAACTGAAGGAAATCCATATTTACAGCCTTCTTGACTGATTGAATAAATAAACATGTACTCAATCTTATTTAAATATTAACATTAATAAATGTAGATTTAAATTTAACATTTGTTTAAAAAGTCCTAACAAGCTCTACAACCAGTCGAGGTTAAACTCCTCATTTTGTTCTCTGTTAAAGGTGGAAGGGCAGCAGCTGAAACCCACCAGTTTCTCTGCCAGTTTGCCTCGTTCCCAGGTTAATGACTGGTGTCCCGAAGGCCCCGGCCTCCCGCACACCACAGCTGCTGTTTCCGATCATGCAGCCAGCATGGCAGACGAGCTGGATGAACTGCTCAAAAGGAATGTGCTTCACAGCCCGGAAGTTGGGATGCTGCTCGATGCCCTTCTTTCTCATGACACGCACCATCTCCTTACTTCCTGTTTAGATCAGGGGGAAAAAAAACGTCCTACATTAGCTGCAGTAACTTTATTTTACCATCAAATCAAAACTGGGAACCACAGGAACAAGTATGTGTTTCTTGCCTGCATCAATGTTTGGAAAGAGGATGAGAGTTCTCTTGTTAAAGGAGAGCAGAGCATCCAGCATCAGCCCGTAGATCTTTATAGAGTGCTGGATGTCTGTGGTAACAGGGTGTTGCAATGCCACAATGTAGTCATTGTTCTGCACTTTGTCACCTAGAGAACACAAAAATCAGTGTCACATAATGCATCAAACAGAAGGCAGTCTTTAATTTAGTATCTAAAGCTGCTTAAGCTGCAATGGCAAGCGTTGCACAAACTGTTTTGCAAAATCACAAAAGTTTTACAAAGACGAGGTAAAAATATATCGGACTTTTATAGTGACAAGTTCCACACACACACACACACACACACACACACACACACACACACACACACACACACACACACACACCAAGTTAAATAAACTTAAATCTGCATGTGAGAATGATCTTTTTAGGAAATGTCAAGAGAAGGAATGATGTGAGAGTTTAACAGGTTTGGAGACAAAAGAAGGATCAGAGACTGAAACGCAGTACAGTGTATTCCCATAATACACCGATAACCAAAACAGTCATTTTCTGCTGCTTCTGCACCTCTTGTCCACATGTTGGGAGAGAGAGAGAGCAAATGGAAGAAGTGAACATTCTAGGATGCTATTTTCACCCAAACACTGTGTGTGATGGCCACTAGTGCTAACAAATACACACTTGTTCTCTTGGGGGAAAAAAGACTTTCCAAATAGTTTTGAAACTCATCCGTTGTTTTGATGAAAATTCTTTTTCCTAAACATAACAATGAACAAAACTACGAAAGTATCTACCGAGCCAGCTCCTTATGATGTCCATGTAGTCCTCTCTGTGATGAGACGAAAGCAGCTTGTCGTATGAGGGACATCCTGCCAGGAGGATGCGGGAGTGGTCCTCACACATGGCAATGAGGTGCTGCTCCGCCATGCGTGTGCAGCAGGCATGATAATGGGCCAGTTTACTGATGGCATGGCGGATTGAATCATCAATCGTTCCGCTAACCTTAAAGAGGCAAAGGAGGGAGGCTTTGGTTGAAATTCTTGTACAGGATCAAGCAGAACAGAGAGATAATAGAAGCATATAAACGCTTTCATGATGCAAGATTAAATAATAAAGACATCTTCTGACCTCTCCTCCCTCCAAATGAAGTATTCTGATGTTCATGAGCGCTGCAGCAGTTGCCAAAGCAAGAGCGTCAAAACGGTCACCATGCACCACTAGGATGTCGGGCTGCAGCCTCTGGAGAACGTCGGGGAGTTTCACCAGAGCCAGTCCCACACTCTCCACCATGGCTGCTTCATCCTCTCCTCTAACAATGGTGTGGAGTTTGGAGCCGATGTCGAAATTATCCTGTTCAATCATTCGGAAAGTGTTGCTAGAAAGGAGGAGAAAAAAAAACCAACCAAAGACTGAATAATAAGCTAGAATGAATGCGCTGACTGAGCATCAGTGAGATAGTTTATCTGCTGGCCTTACCCGTAGTCATCGATGAGATGGGAACCAAGAACCACAACTTCCAGTTCAAACTCCTCAGGATGGGATTTAATCCCAAACATGATGGGGGCTAACTTGGAGTAATCTGCTCTGTTGCACGTCGCCACACACACTCGCAGTTTCTTCTTACCCTTCAGCAGTTGATAAACACATAAAAAAATGGTAAGTGGCCTGTCTTTGTATAGCACCTTCTAACCCTCCAAGGTGCTCCATAACACAATCAGCAGGCAAAGAGGGTTTATGTTTATGTTTATTTATTTGGCAGACGCTTTTATCCAAAGCGACTTACAACTTATAACCTAGAGGGCGTGTTGTGATCTGTGGGGGAAACCGGAGTACCCGGAGGAAACCCACGCATGCATGGGGAGAACACGCAACTCCACGCTGAAAGGCCGCAGCCGAGTTTCGAACCTGCAACCTTCGTGCTGCGAGGCAACAGTGCTAACCACTGCGCCACCATGCAGGGTTAAGTGTCTTGCCCAAGGACACAACGACTGCGAGTGACTTAGTGGGTCTTGACCCCACAACTTAACTCCACTGCACAGTCATCGTGCAACAAACATATACAAACTATTTATTTGTTTAAATTTTTGCACAAAAACAAATTATCTCAATATTTTTTAGAAGTTGAACAAAATACAAAAGAAAAAAGTAACTTATTTGAGTCGGACAGCAGCAGCACCAGAAATCTTTTGTCCTCTTATCAACATTAAACACAAACCTGATTTAGTTCTCTTTCCACTTTTTCTCGCTCCATCTTTTCTCTGTTCCTCTGCATTCTCAGAAAGTACAACTCCTGGGGAAACAAAGGCAGAAGAGCGGATGAGGTCTAGTTAAGATTAAGCATGTTATACATCAGTGTTTTTACAGAAATCCATCTAGAAGCCATACTCACTTGACCCTTCCAAGTACTCAGGGTCTGAAGCATGAAAACACAACAAAACGACACTAAAATAACTATAATATTCACATTCACAACACGATAACCTTCAGCATGCTGTACAACAGATTAAAGGTGGCGTTTTGCTACATTAAAGATAAATAAGTTTATTTTTTTTATTTAACTTTTCAACAAACAGCTGAACTGGTCTGGGAATGTATTTGTTAAAATGACCTTTATAGGCTTGGGCGGTACTATGGTAATACCGCATACAGCTGGTGTTTAAAAAGAGCAATGGTAGCAGTGCCATGGAAAAAACGCTGTGCACTTAAGAGATGAGGATTAAATATCAAAAAAGTAAGTTAATGTGTAAAACTGATGTAAAGTGGGATGTGAAAGTTTGAGCAGCCCCGTTATTCTTCATGATTTTCCAGTATAAATCGTTGGTTGTTACGGAAAAAAAATATTCTGTTAAATATTCATATGGGAGACAAAGTGATTTTTGAGAGGTTAAGTAAAGTAAAGTTTAAGTCCCATTAGTCATCACACACTGGTGAAATTCATCTCCGCATGCGAGTCATCCCCATGGGGAGCGGTGAGCTGCAGCTCTGGCTGTGCTCGGGAACTATTTGGTGGTTTTATTTTAAAAAGTACAAGTGGTTTATAGGATTTACAGAAAGTGTGCAATAATTATTATAAAAATAGACAGGTGCTTAAATGTAGGCACCACAAAAAGAAATTTACTCAGTATTTGGTAGATCCTCCTTTTGCAGGAATAACAGCCTCCAGAGGTGGAAAGTAACGAATTACATTTACTTGCGTTACTGTAATTGAGTAGATTTTTTGCGCATTTATACTTTTTTAAGTAGTTTTTAAAATCTGCAATTTTACTTTTACTTAAGTATTGTTTTTTGTAAGTATTGTACTTCGCTACATTTTTTATCTTATCCGTTACCGAGTAAAAAAAACAACATTGAAAAATACTGTCGGCACGGTTCGCACTGGATTCAGACGATGATTCAGACATAACCACAGAAAAGAAAGACGAGAGTACAAACATATACATATGTAGAAGCGTCTTAACGCACTCGAGAGTGATCCAGCACTTAACGAAGTGTCTATGTATATATATGTCTATACTGGTAAGACCCAAACACGAAAGTGCTGCGGACGCTGAAGGCGCGCACCAGAAGAACTGAGTGCTTAAGTTACGAGAGTGTGTGTGTGTTACGGGGTACGAAGGAAAGGATAAGAAACACTGACTACTCGGATGACTGGAGGATCGCCTAAGAAGATCAAAACTTGTGAGAAGGAATGAAGGGATGTCTGAGCGGTCAACAGGTGAGTTGAACTTCTTAGTGTGAAGCATGTGTTCAGTGACCTTACAGTGCAATGAATGATGGGTAGGAGAAGAAAATAGGCGCTAATGGTACGAGAAAGATAGCCTGGCCTGCCAGACTCCTCCTGTTTAATTCACGTCATACACGGCGATGCTCAATTTCTCATAAACAACGAAGACCGCGGCGGAGTTCGCTGCGGCTCTTTCCTCTGTTCTAAATGACTCAGATGTCTTTAAAACCACAAGTAGAAGTGCTAAAAGCATTTCTTCTAAAAAATAAAAGATGTTTGCGCCATTGCCAGACGCTTTTTTTTTTTACTACAACTAGAAATCTACCGCGTGGTGTGGTACAGTCGGGATTTCCTTCTTTTTTCTGATTGGTCATTTTTGAGCTTCCTAGTCCCGCCCCTCAAGTGATCTTCCAGCTAAAAGAAAAACTCAGCAGACTGGAGACTGTCTCCAAGATGTGTCTGCCACTCTTCAGAGCCATTCAGGATGGTGTCCAAAAGCACTTTGGTGAGATGATAGAAGACGCTGCTGCAATCCTTCTTCCAAAGTTCAAGACCACCTGGACTGAGAGGCACGATATCAATGAAGCAGGTAATATTTTATAATTTAATATCATACCTTAATCTGTTTCTTATTCATTTCAATCCTGTCAACATACTTAAAGTTCAATTATACGAGTCTGTCGACACAAATGATAGTATTTGTAAGGCATGTATTACTAAAAACAATTCTTGTTGCATCTTCTATCAAAACTTAATTGCCAGATATATTAAATATGTGTTATGTATTTGTCATTCAACAGGTTTGATCAATATGAGAAGACATCTTCACCAAATGGCAGAGGCTGGGGCGGAGCAAGTCAAGCAACAGTCATCACATCCTACACTCATCTTTGTTTAAAAGTGCTTTTCTGTCCATCGGTCCCAGCGTGCTCTCTATAATTAATGCTTCTCTGGTTTCTGGTCAGGTCCCTGCTTACTTTAAGAACGCTGTAATCCACCTGCTTCTTAAAAAACCGAGTCTCGACCCTTCTCTCCATAGCAGCTTCAGACCCATCTCTAAACTTCCGTTCATCTCCAAGATCTTGAAAAAGGTTGTGGCTAAACAACTCACAGCTGCTCTTGATGAACATAACATCTATGTTAGCTTCCAGTCAGGTTTTCGTAGAGCTCATTCTACTGAAACAGCTCTTCTTAGGGTCTCTAATGACCTTCTGACTCACAGTGATGCAGGGGACTGTTCTGTTCTGGTCCTGCTGGACCTGACAGCAGCCTTTGACACTGTTGACCATCACCTGCTACTGGAGAGGCTGAGAGACTGGGTAGGCCTATCAGGATCTGCCGGGGGGGGGGGGGGGGGGGGGGGTGTCATTCAGGGAAAAGTCATGGGCTTGTGACTATAACCTAATTTATGTTACTAGTTTGCAGTGTAACTGCCTTTGTACTTCAATATGCATATTTGCTCATTTAATAAAAAAAACGGCCACTTTGACATTTATACCCCATTGTCTTTTTTTTAACTATTCAGAAGAGCCCGTCCTTGCACAGTCAAAAAAGTAACTAAGTAACTTTTACTCTGACTACATTTGAAATAAGCTACTTTTTACTTTTACTTGAGTACATTTTGAGGCAGTTAATTTTACTTGTAATTGAGTAAAATTTTATGAAAGTAATTATACTTGTACTTAAGTACAACATTTTAGTACTCTTTCCACCTCTGACAGCCTCTAAACTCTTCCTTTGGCTTCCAATGAGTCTGGATTCTGGCTGGAGGTGTTTTGGACCATTCTTCTTTATAAAACATCTCTAGTTCATTCAGATTTGATGGCTTCTGAGCAGCCCTCTCTCTAACTCACACCACAGATTTTCAGTAGTATTCAGGTCTGGGGACTGAGATGACCATTCCAGAATGTTCTACTTGTTCCTCTGCATGAATGCCTTAGTAGATTTTGAGCAGTGTTTAGGGTCGTTGTCTTGTTGAAAGATCCAGCCCCGGCACAGCTTCAGCTGAGAGAGATGTCACTCTATAACATGCAATGTTGGAGCATGCAGGTTTTTCTGGTAAAAAAATATTATTAATAAGCTGTATTTTTAAATAAAAGTTGTTAATATTATGTGTTATGTTGCTGTTAGCTCGTTCAGTAGTAAGTGTTTGGGATTCAGTTTCTGAACGGTAGTTTTACGTTGTAATTTTTAATTAGTGACGGCAATACCGTACTGTGGTAAACTGTGGAGGAAGTTTAACGGTATTAAAACTTGGATACCGCCCAAGCCCTTTAAGAACATTTTGGTGTTCAATGTAAATTTGTTTCCCTCAAATCTGGTGACTTGAAGTCCGCTGACGTGGCTGAAGTCATGTTCTTTGCCAGAAATACACGTTAAGACTTTAAACTCGCCTGTCCTGAATTCTTCATGACAGTTGTCTTTGTGTCAACAGATTTACGTCGAACATAATTTCCACTTCTCTAAGCTTTCAAACAACTATGTTAATGTGTGACTAGCGCACCACACCCTGCAATTATAGACAAATATTTACAGTAATACAGGCCGTTTACAATTTGAGATTTAATCCTCTTTTACGGTGAATACTTATAGACTAATGCTACGTTATAAGTCCACTTCCTGTTATTTGTAAACATGGATGACCGTAAACGGTTATAAAAGCACAAGACTTTCTGTAAAAATAGTAAATTTCTAAATTGTAAATTTTTTTTAATTGTCCAGTCTTTAGAATTTCCTTTGTGAAATTAATACTTTTTTCAGGTTTGAAAAGCTGCAAACGTGATGCGACACTGAGCTCACCTGTGTCTGTTTTGCATCAACTGGAATTTTTTATTATCTTTAATTCAATTTCATTTTTAAGCCACTTTCCATCACACAGATCAGATCATTAAAATGCTAGTTTGATTTTTGCATTTTCATGGACAATAACAAATCTGGAGCAAATGACAGGTTTACTGTATTTGTTGAAGAGCATTTTATCATTTGGTGTCTTTGGTCTGAGGACGTCCTGCTCCAACCAAACCTGTTCCAGCACATCTTAGTCTCCGTCCTCAAACGGAATACCTTATCAGGAGTTACCTGACCTTCATCCTGGACACAAACAGCTTTCACTAAAAAATAAAACATTTTGACAGCAGGAATCAGGGTGTTTTGTGGGTCCTTTGGTCACTATTATCAGTTTTAACATCAGGAACTGGAACCAAAACAGTGCACTTGCACAGAAAACAGCTCTGCTATGAAAGAAGATCATTTAAAACAATTCTGATCCTTGGATGAAAGCGTATTCGTTGAGTATTCTCTGTAATTTGTGTCTTTTCACTGCTAAATGCTCATGCAGAGTATTTGGTCTAAAATGTCAATAAAACAACTGCAACCCCAGTGGGAGTGTGAAAGATTTTGAATAAAACCACACAGATAACTTTGTGTTTGCCTTAGTTTTGTAGGAAAGAGAAAGCAAAAGCCTCATTGCAAGAATTTTTGAGGCTTTTAAATTACTGGCTTTAATTAGTTTTACAACTTAAGTTGGAGCAGTCCATCACTTCATTGTGACAGAAGAGAGGCACGCCCTCACCGTGCGTAGGTGTGTGTTCCAGCATCCGTCATGGTGACTTTACTAATTACAGGTCTGTACATGTTAAACATTCTTAAAGTTTAGAGTGAGTATGTGTTCTAGAGTCACTGCACTGTTA